CCCCCCCAAGCTGATGCTGCCTCCACGGTGCAGGTGCGAATCTGAAGGAGTGGCTGCGGGAGCAGTTTTGTGACCATCCCCTGGAGCAGTGTGAGGACACGCGGCTCCATGATGCGGCCTACGTGGGCGACCTGCAGACTCTCAGGAGCCTGCTGCAGGAGGAGGGCTTCCGGAGGTGAGCCGGCCCACAGAGGGCCTGCCCCAGGGGGCGGGCTGCTGGTGAGGGGTAGAAGGCAGCACGGCCACTCGTCCCACCCTTCTTGCTAGGCGGGGGCCCTGGGCCTCGCTTCCCCCTGAATGAGCCTGGGCGGGATGGGCTGCCACCCCACCCCCTGGGGCTTCCTGGTGCTGGTGCAGCACGCACTCAGCCGGCGGAAGATGCAGCCCCTGCTCGGTGGACTGCTCTCTCAGCCACAGCCCCCCTTCACCCCCATACTCTCGTCACCTCACTCTTGTCCACAAGAGCGGGCCGCCGGCCCAGAATACGTGCAACGGCTTCACACTAGCCCTCCGTGTGGCTACTCTGTCTGGACTCAAGGTGGTCAGAGAAGTCTGGCAGGAGGCGGCTACCTTGGCAGCCCTGTGCGGTCCCTGTCACCTGCGTCTGCCAGCAGGGGCCATGCAGCTCTGAGCCAGCCCACTTCCTGCTCCCTGCGCCCAGTCTCGGTGGCTCTCCCGGCTTCTTGGGGGTGTGTTGGTTAGGTGTTGCTTCCTTGGGCTGTGGGTGGCACAGAAGAGGTGCGGGGTTGGATCCCCCCAGCCCAGTGGGAGCAAGGCCTGTCAGCTGCAGCTGTTAGAAGCTCAGGGCTCCCTGGCCTGAGTCCCTGCGGGCTTGCAGTAACTGCCCTTTGGTGGTGAGCTTCTCTTGGTTGCAGCATGTCTGCGGGGCCTCTGAGCTTGAGCCACCGAGTGAAGAAGCGACCTGCCTTGGTTTAGCGTCTGGGTGGCGCTCTCTGCCACTGGCTCAGCCTGGCCTTGGTGGCTTCTTACAGGGCGGTCCAGCGCCCCTGGGCCCCTGCCTCAGATGTATTCAGGTGTTCAGTAGGGGAAGGGCCCTGGGCTCTGACCTCGCACCTCTGTCTCGTGGGAGGCCTGAGTGCTGACTTGGGTCCCTCGCCGACCGTGGAGCTGTGGGTGAGCCAGCGCCTCCGCTCTCCCCAGCCGCATCAACGAGAAGTCGGTGTGGTGCTGTGGCTGGCTGCCCTGCACGCCGCTGCGCATCGCGGCCACTGCCGGCCATGGGCACTGTGTGGACTTCCTCATCCGCAAGGGGGCAGAGGTGGACCTGGTGGACGTCAAGGGGCAGACGGCCCTCTACGTGGCTGTGGTGAACGGGCACCTGGAGAGTGCCCAGATCCTCCTGGAGGCCGGCGCGGACCCCAACGGCAGCCGGCACCACCGCAGCACGCCCGTCTACCACGC